AGAAGGCATAGGTTTAAGGTGAGAAAGGAGACATACAAAAGGGTCTAGAGAGGCAACTATTCTTACAGAGGATGGTGAATGTCTGTATGGACTGCCAGAGGTAGTGGTGGAGACGGGTACAATTTTGTCACTAATAAACATTTGAACAGGTACATGGATGGGATGGGTATGAGGGGATATGCACCAAACAGAGGCAAATGAGGGTGGTTTAATTGTGAAAACTGGTTGGTATGGACAAATGGGGCTGAAAGGCCTGGTTCCATACTGTAAACGTCTAAGTATCTATGACCAAGGACCAATTCCAGCTCCCAGAAACACCTGACAAATGTGTAGTCATAGATGTGGCTCTAGGATCAGGCTCATCACTCACACAATGATCCATAGAACTCATGACCAGTGACTCAGAGTTCCCTAGGTGGAAAATCATACTCGTTAGCGAGTGATTGCTGATGACGAGAGTCTCTCTGACAGTTCCTCTTCAGAAAACTCACACTCATGCCATTTGCTGCAACGTCTTCCAAAAAATTGATCACTAGACACTCAGGTTTGCTGCATGTATGACATGAGTTGAAGTCTGTTAGTTCTTGCCTTGAGCTGGTCTTTGAGTACTTTTCTGATCTCCTTTGGTTGATTCTGATCATCCACTGAAAGATTGGATGTTTTAATTCCACAAAACCCCTCTTTGTCAAAAACAAGTAAGATTTTTAGAGTTCTTTACTTAGGAATATCTATTACTTGATCTGTAAAGCAGAGCAACATATATTGTTTAAACAGTTGTAGCTCAGCAAAAGTATCTCTTGAGGCTACTCAGTTCATTACCGTTTGCCTTAAATTTGCAGATCTTTGCCTTTTTTATTTTAGGAGTACAGTGCAGTGTTTGTTCATTTTGTATATTGATCTCGCTTTTCTCTCTATTTTTCCTATTTTTGCTTCTGGTTCACTTTTTTCCATGTTGTTGTCCCTTTCATTGGCCTGGTCTCTTTAAAATCTGCTGCTTTAGGAACTGCAGACATAGTTTAAGTGCGATAGGCTTGTAACTGCAGATTTCTGTCTGCAGGTGGTGCTTGTGTCAAATAAGAGATAGCAAGAACTGCAGATGCTGGAGCCAGAGATAACACAGTGTGGTGCTGGAGAGGCACAGCGGGCCAGGCAGCATCAGAGGAGCAGGAAAGTTGACGTTTCGGGTTCAGAGCATTTTTGAAGAAGGGTCCTGACCCAAGATGTCAACTTTCCTGCTCCTCTGATGCTACCTGGCCTGCTGTGCTTCTCCAGCTCCACACTGTGTTATCTCTTGTGTTAAATAAGGAGTGTCGATGGCACACAGGTTTCCCTTTAGTTTCTCACCAATTTGGGGCAAGAATATAATGGAACCAGTGGGCCTCTGGACACAGGTAGGGGTTTATTTTAATGTAGAAAATTTTTTTTCTAGCATTTGAAATCTGAGTTTTCTTCTAGAAGCACATTGCAGCTATGCTGTCAGGATCATTTAACTGCTGTTGTTTTAATCAGGAGGCTCTTTTCATCAGGAGGCTTAGTATTTTTTCAAAGAAAAAGAGAGAGGTAGTGAACTCACTGGCACATATCGGCAGCCATTATTTTTGCTTGTACTTTTAATGTCAGCCTTTTTATTGTTGAGTAAGATGATCATGGAATCAAAAACAGGTTTGCTCTATCTTTTTGCTGGTTAATGCTCTATTTGCTGACTGTATTCACAGAAACCGATGTTGCCAATTGACTTAATTCACTATTGTCCAAAACAGTTGCTTAATTGATCTTCAATTAGTTTTCCAAATGTCTACGTGTACTGAATATTCTATTGAGGATTGTTAAAGATCTGATTCAGATATTTTGACAGGAGAAAATGCTGAAATACTATTTCCACTGGTGAGGCATTTGTACATGAGGGGCATCATATAAAATGAAACATGACAAAAATCAGGCCCTTTCAGAGGAAAAGCTGGATTATCTTATTCATGCAAAGGGTGAGGGATATCTAGAATTTTCTCATTGCTAAAAGACTGTGGATGCCTGGCGACAATCGGAGCAAGTTGCAGATCGTTGAATTCTCTGCAAGAATGGGTGCCAAAAGAAATGAAGCAAAGGCAGGAAAATAGAACTGTAGTGCAAGCCAATCTGATCTCAGTGAATCACAGAGTAAGCTGAAGGGGCTGAATGGTCTGCTTCTGTTTCTATGAACATTATAGTTTTTGATGTAAGAGTGAAAATATGTTATTAGGAATCAATGTGAACCATTTTAGAACAATCTATGTTACTGTCATAATTTCAGATCAGAAAATTACAAGAAAAAGGACATTCAGTTCATATATGATAGTAAGAACTGCCAATGCTGGAGTCAGAGATAACACAGCGTAGAGCTGGAGGAACACAGCAGGCCAGGCAGCATCAGAGGAGCAGGAAAGCTGACGTTTCAGGTCAGGACCCTTCTTCAGAAGAATTTCTGTCTGCAGGTGGTGCTTGTGTCAAATAAGAGATAGCAAGAACTGCAGATGCTGGAGCCAGAGATAACACAGTGTGGTGCTGGAGAAGCACAGCAGGCCAGGCAGCATCAGAGGAGCAGTTAAGTTGACGTTTCAGGTTCAGAGCATTTCTGAAGAAGAGTCCTGACCCAAGATGTCAACTTTCCTGCTCCTCTGATGCTGCCTGGCCTATTCAGTTTATACATCTCACTTTTTACAGACTGCATAATTCATATTACCATGAACCCCTGAATGTACTACAGAAACACTACTTAATTTTCTAAGGTAATCAAACAAACCTGGTGAATATTTGCCCTTTTCCACTGTTCACCTTAAGCTAATTTGCTTCCCTGCTATTCCAATCTGAGTTAGCACTCCAGAATATCTGATCTTTTCAAATCAATTGTGATCCCCTTGGTCTCCAATATGGTTACAACCAGGCATGTATGTGAGTCTGAGTTGTACACAGTGAGATCCCACAAACAGTAATAAGCTACCAGATATTGGGCCAGGTCTTCCAGTTGGAGGACAGGAGTTACATATTGGGACCACGTAGGAGTCTTGAGACAGCTGACTTTGCAGGAATTTCCTCAGAAGTTGAAACTTCCAGTGGGCAATTATCTGGTGTATAGAAGCCTCCAGAAATGTCCCAAAATCTGTGTTGGATTTGGAGACTTCAGATGGTTCCAACTCATATACTGATACCCACAACAACCCTTCCCAATCCCACACAAACAGCCGACACTTCCACTCAGACCAGACAGTGTGTCCACCACATCCTTACCCTCCCCAACTAATTCACTTCCGTCCCCTCAGGGATATCTGACAACTCCCAAATCAAAAGCCAACTCCTCGTGGACCCAAAACCACCCTCTGATCTGACAGGTCCATCCCTATGACACCTGCCTCTCAACTTCCAATCTACTATCTCGGCCTCAACATCCTTCCCACAAACCCCTCCCACCCACTCACCATGGAGTGGAACCCCCACCCCAAACCAACTTCAATCATTGACTCCCACTTCCTGAATTCCCCTAACCCTAGGCCCCCATTAATCCCCAATGTGAGTCTCCCCCACATACCTCAGCTCTCATCCACATACCTGCCATCTACTCCAGCTCCAAATACCAACCTACCCCCTTTACTCAGGAGATGCACAGGAGGATGCCAAAATCACTAGAGCGATGGTATTGGCAGCAGAGTGAGCGTGGGCGGAGCTGGGAGCCAAATTGTGGCTGGAGCCCCGAGCGGGAGCAGTGACAGCGCGGGCCAGAGCCCCGAGCGGGAGCAGTGAGAGCCGGGGGATGAGTCCAGGATGGAGACCAGTGCATGCAGGCAGCGTGGCCTTGTGTTCTGAAGCCCAGCAGGCATGGACTTAGTGAAAAAAGACTATAATTTCAATTTTTAAACTCTGTATTTCCATGCTAGTCTTTTTTTTTACTATTTCAACTCTGTAACAACACTTAAAACTATCTGTACCTAGGTACCCTGTACCTAAGATGGCACATGTCAAATTTTTCACTGCATTCATTTGAGTGCATGTGACAATAAAGGCTATTTTAAATTCTAAATTCTTCACCTTTGAAGAGGTCAAAGAACTCCAAGTGCCTCATGGAAGCCCCTGGCCTGTCATTGACCAAAATGGGGAAGGATCAATTGAGAAGGGACAGGCCACATTGAGAGACTTCACTGGCGTCACGCAGGGGTGAAATCGAGAGGTAACACACAAACCACAAAACAACCCACTTCTTGGCACCTGTCAGCCATATCGGAGCCCATAGGTC